AGAGAGAGAGAGCACAAGCAGGGGAAGCAGCAGGCAGAGGGAGAAGAAGACTCCCTGCTAAGTGGGGAGCCTGATGTGGTGGGGCTCGATCCCCGGACCCTAGGATCATGACCTGAGCTAAAAGCAGACACTTAACTGACTGAGCCACCCAAGCATCCCGAATTCTGACCTTTGAAAAAAGAAATGCTGGAGATCTGGATTTTTAAAATCTGAAATATCCCAATTTTAAAACATGGACAGCAAATTCACATAAAGAGAATGCAGGCCAAACAAAACATATCTGCAGGCTACACGTTTGCACAGACCTGCCACTAGCCCCAAAGACAATTTGCAAATTAGAAAAAGATTCATCTTCCTCAGGACACTTTACTGCCATTTCTGGAAAATTGTAATAACCATACAAAGCTATGATGACTAGGGGCGCCTGGGTGGCGCAGTCGGTTAAGCCTCTGACTCTTGGTATAGGGCTCAGGTCGTGATCTCAGGAACATGAGATTGAGCCCCACATTGGGCTCCACGCTCAGCGAGGAGTCTGCTTGGGATTCTCTCACCCCCTTTCCCTCTGCCCCTCCCCCTGCTTGCACTCTCTCTCTCCCTCTCTTTAAAATAAAATAAATAAATCTTAAAAAAAAAACAAAAACAAAAAACGAAAAGACCCAAATCTATGGTGAGTGTCATGTACGGGACACCTCCTGGAGCTTTGCAAAAAGCAGCCCTTGTGAAATACAAACGGTAGCCCCACGTTTGCAGCCACTGGTTTAGAATCTCCCCGTGATGCCAGAGCCGAGCTGGAGCCATGACGGGGTCCATGATAAGAACACGGGTAGAGGGGCAGGTGTGCAGAGGTGGATTTAAAAATCCAGTCTGAGTGGGGTCTGGACTACAAGTCATGTCCTGTGAGGGAACTGGGCTCACACAGCCCGCAAAAGAAATGACCCGAGGGAGGGAGAGTGTGCTGTCAATCGGGAAGAGCTGGAGCAAACAAATCGCATCTGATTCCTGAAGGCGGGACTATGGCCGCTAGGTGGACATTTCAACAAGGAGAAGAACTGCAGCTCAGGGAAGAGCCTTCTAATAGTGGTACTGAAAGAGGATGTCATGTACGGTAGTGAGCCCCCCGTCACTGGTAGTGTGCAAGCAAAGGCTCACAATGGTATAGCGAGCATTCAAACACCAGACAGAAGGCCAGAAACACAGCCCCTCAAATTCCTTCAGCCTGTAATTCTAGGTTTTCTCCTTGGCCCCTGGGTAGGGCCCTATGTGCCCAGCCTTGGAATTGGAATCTGTCCTGCATCGGCTGGGGGACAGTCGGGAATCCTAACTGGGAGGCTCAGTCCTGGGAACGAGGCTCTTCCACTGACTGTGCCTTGGCCACAGTACTTCCTCTCAGTGAGCCTCAGCACGCCGCCGTGTGCAGAATGAGGGCACTAACGGGCTGGGGAGAGGCCTGCGTGGGACCACACGGCTGGGGGCTCTGAGACCAGGCCAGGCACACTGTGAGTGCTCCGTGTGTCCACACACCTTGCTTGGCTGCCTTTTGCTTTTGCTTCTCCTCCTCCAGGGTCTTCATCTTAGCATCGTATTCATCGGCGAGCGCCTTCCACTCCTTGCGGTTGTTGGTGATCCCATCCAGCATGGGAGTGATCTCCTCGTGGAAGCGGGAGAATTCCTGGAAGAGAGAGAGCCTCTGGCACAGGGGCCACACCCCAGGGTCCAGTGCAGGGGAGAGGCTGGGCTGAGCACGCCCACCACAGGAACAAGCTGCCTGGGGCGGCGGGCTTCCCGTCACCCAGTGGTCTGCGTGCTGATGCTGTGGGGCCTGCAGTCAGCAAGAGCCCATCCATCCCTCTCTTGCTTAAAACCCTCCTGTGGCAGCCCCTTGTCCTTCAGGACGAAGTGCAAACTTCTTCACACAGCTTCCGAACCCCTCCAGGACTGCTGCCCTCGCCCCTTGACCATTTTGAACCCTCTGGGTAAGTAGAGTCCTCTATTAGAAGCTCGCAAAGCCTCTCTTCCACCTCTCACTTCATCGTAATGACTCCCTTTGCCTGTGTCCCCCAGGGGCTGTGGCCTTGGAGAGGGCAGGGACAGCGGCGCCTTGTTCACAGAGGTGGCCCTGGCGCAGCACAGGGTCTGGGGCATAAAGACACCAGGAAACACTTGCTGAGAGAAACTGGGGTTTGTGAAGGGGATTCTTAAGGCCCCTTAACTCCAAGAATAAAAATAATGCCTTGGAGCATAGCACTTAGAGTTTATGAAGCGCTTTCTCGCCTTTGATCTCCAGAAACTCCTGGGAGGTGGGAAAACAGGATGCCTCCCTCCTAGCTTTTCAGGGGAGGAAATCAAGATGCAGGTTGATGGAGTCGATTGGCTCAAGGTGAGAACGGCAAATCCAGGGCCCACTGCGGAGTTCCAGCCAGAGCCAGCTGTGCTCAGAGCTCCCGGGTTTGGATCCAGCTCTGCCACAAGCTGTGTAACCGTGGGGCGGTGACCTACAGAGCTCAGCGTCAGCCATAAAGTCAGGACAGTACAGTACCTACCTCACAGGGCTGTGATAGCGCATGCAGGGCGTTCAGCCTCGCCTACCTGGTTTCGTAATCTTGCTGATGATAGTGGGGAGCACGGTTACACTGCCCTGTTGCTCTGAGGACCCCAGTTAGCCAAGGTATAACAGAGAAGCACTTGTCCTCCCCAGCACAGCAGAAAGAGCCTGGGACTAGGGATCAGGTACCCTGGCTCTAGTCCTGGCTCAGGGCTGACTCCGACGATGCTGGCCCTGTCATTTCTTATGTCTGGCCTCTGCCTCCTCAGGTTACACATGACCAAAATAAAAATAACAAACGGGAGGCAGATGGTGGCACAAATCACACGGAGTTGGGAGCAGTGAGTTTTCAGTGGGTTTTCTCCGAGCAAGAGCTCAAAGAAATTCCAGATGATCTTTTGACAACTGGTTTACCTTGACCTATCACATTTCCACCAGCAAGGGAAGTTAGGAGGGTGTGTGTCTGATACGCCTCCCCCTTTCCTGTCTGAAACCACATGTAGTCATCTGTCCCTATGGCGTTGAGCAAGTAGAGTGGGTGAAGCTCCAGGCTCTGGCCTGGGTAGATAATCACTCAGGACCCCATCGGGCTGGACTGAGGACCAAATGCCAATGCAGATGAGAAGCTCTTTGTAAACACCCACCGGTCACTTGCCAGGGTTTATGATTCCTGATGGTGTTTGGGAATTCCTGGGTTTAACAAAGACACCTCGCTGGGCCTGAGAAAGCCAAGGACCTACCTTGTAGACAAAGGTGCAAACAAAGTCAATGAAGCCGACCTGAAGCTTGGGGAGTTCATCCGCCTTGTTTCTGTCCATCATGGGCTGTCATGGAGGAGAAAAGGTTAACTGTACCGGGCTCCTCCTGGCATGATGCATTAAAAGGGACCCACCCTACCTAGGAAGCTTTCTTGTTCAAAACAAAACAAAACAAAAAACCCAACTAAACCTGAACTCATCAAGTTTCCAGATCTGACTAGCGGTTTGCAGGAAATATGGGGATAAAGGAACATATTAAATAACACCATGAGAGTGCAATCAACCCAGTCCAGACTGTGGGAAACTACACAACAGAAGACCCACGGTCTTCAACAAGCAAACACATGGCAAATAAAAAGAAAAAAACAAAAACCAGGAGAAAATCTGCTCTGTCTTGAAAGAGACTCAAGAGACAGGACAACCAGAGGGAGTGTGGTCTGTGACTGGATCCTGATTCGAAAAAATCAAACCTAACTATTTTTCTCACTCAATCAGGGAAAATGAACAGAGATTAGATGATAATACAGCATTATTTCTAATTTTGTGAGCGTCACAATGGTATTGGGGTGTGTGCGTGCCTGCACGCCCCACGTGTTTTTCTTATCTCTTAGAGACCCGCACTAAAGTCTTTATGGAAAAAATGATAACATCTGGAATTTACTTTAAAATACTTCAACCAAAAGATAAGAAAATGCCTGAGGGTGGAGGGATAGATAAAACAAGAATGGCTGTCTCTAGTGGTGGTGGTTGAACCTGGCTGATGGGTCTCTGGAGTTCATTCACTAGACCCTCTACATGTTAAAATGCAGAGAAGAAAGAAGAGAGATCCAAATCCGTGGCCCCGTGCTACTCAGGTCGGGACGCTCCCTGCTCAGTTGCACTCAGCTCGCACACCCCCCACTGCCTGTGCTCTCCCTTCGGCCCTGCCCAAGCCTCACGTGGGTGCCCCCGCATCCTCAGCACTGCCCCAGGCTTCACCCATCCCCATCTCCATCAGTGGCTCTGTCCTCAGAATGTCGCTCCCTCCTACCCCGCCTCTGCTTCCCAGCCCTGCCCTTGCTCAAGGCCTTAGTGAACCTCTCACTGGGCTCTTCGTCTTGGTGACTGTCCTAGCCAAGCCTACTTTCAGTGTTGATGGATGCTCAGCTTGCCAAGGTCTTCCCCTTGTACGCTCTGTACTGTTAACACAAGGCCTGGGGAGGTGGCCTCCTAGACTGTTGGAACCGGGAGGAAATCTGTTTTGGGGTCCCCTTGTCCACCTCTACTTAGCTGAGGGAGCCAAGGATACGTACCCAAACTTGAGGAGGGCTTATGATTTAGGACGGCACACATTTGCCGAGCCCACTTCCAGAGTTGCTGCTTAGGTGGGTCTAGGATGGGGCCTGTGAATTCTCATCTCTAATGTGTTCCCAAGTAATGAGGTTGATGGTGGTATGGGGACCATACTTTGAGAACCAGTGCATTAGGAAAAGGTCATCTCTACGGTAAGATCACACATGCCTATGTCAGGGGGAACATCTGTCTATCAGGATAAGATCATACACACTCAACATCAGGCTGACGTCCCCCCCCAACCCCTACTCACAATGGGGTTCTGTTGCAGCACACTGCGCTCAAGGTCACCTTGTTCCCAGAATTCGGCGGCAACCAGCAGAGCTACCTGCAATAGGCAGATCCCGCCCCCCGCCGACAAAGTCAAGCCCCAGCCCAGATCCTCCTACCCCTGCTCCCACCCTTCCTAGGTTTCCAGCTCAGCGAAACTTAACCCCCACCCCTGCCTCGCTGCCCCCTTTGTCGTCATCACTGGAGAGGCACTAAAGTGGTTTCCGTGTCTTGGCGGATGAGGCGAAGGTGGGCTGCTTCTGGAACTGGGAGTCCAAGCCACATCGGCTGCTGTCATGATGCCGGGACTCCCTTCCTCTCAGGTCAGGAGGGCTCCATACCTTACTCTGCACCTCCCAGGGCTTGGTGATGGCCGAGAGATCACAGGCGGTCATCATCATGGCCCTGCACACAAGGACACCATCCATCAGCCCAGAGCTAATTAAGGCTGCAGGTGCTGGTTAATTCCAACTTTCTGTCCTTTCTCTGCGCCACATTGCAAGGACGGGGTCACTGCGGCATTGCATCTGGAGGTCGGGCTTTGAAGCCAGACAGAGGTTAAAATCCTGCCTCTGTCAATTACCAGCAGATTGGCATGGGGCAATTAAACCAACCTCTGTAAGCCTCAGTTTCCTTATTTGTAATAATAACGGTACTTTCCTCATAAAATGGGTGCAAGATTAGATGAGATAAGGTGTATAAAAAATCTTAGCAGAGGGCCCGGACATAGTATGTGCACAATAAATACTGGCGATAATCGTGAACATCTATTGGGTTTTTCTTACGTGACACGCACTGTTCTAGGTACTTTGAAACATCGATTTCATTTCAATCTCAGCACCTCTTCAGAGTTCTTTCTCTCCTGTCTAGTGGAGACCAGTGTTTCTCAAGCTTTATCTCATCATCCTCCACCTTCCACATCAAACAGCCTCTATACACATTTTTTCTGTAATCACTCCACCATGAAATCTTAATACCATAGACACACTGTGTATCTGTTTGGAGGACCACAGGTCACCTTAACACCGAAGGCTTTTTTTTATTTTTTAAAGATTTTATTTATTTATTTGACAGAGAGAGACACAGCGAGAGAGGGAACACAGCAGGGGGAGTGGGAGAGGGAGAAGCAGGCTTCCCGCTGAGCAGGGAGCCCGATGTGGGGCTCGGTCCCAGGACCCTGGGACCATGACCTGAGCTGAAGGCAGATGCTTAACGACTGAGCCACCGAGGCGCCCCTACCTAAGGCTTTTTGCTTCACCTCCAGGAACTGCTTTTTGCCCGGGGTGGGCAGTGATAGCACCCCCATTAAAAATGCATGGTATAAGAAGTACCACGTCAGTCATTTCAGGAAGCCTTGCATGAAGAAGTAGAGGGAGGGATTGGGGAGAGAAAGAATGGAAAGATAAACTCTTAAAGCAGTTTCACAATAATAGGAAGAAGGTAAGACAGGTATTATTACCTAGGTAGGTAGAGTAGAAGACAGAGAAGGAGGGGACAGAGACAAAGAACTGGAGGAAGGGGGGAGTTGGAGAGGGTGTTTCAGAGCTGGGGGCACAGCAGCATGCACATACGGGGTGGGGATCCAGGCTCGTGTGGTGTGGACATTGCTGGGAAATGGAAACTGTATCCGAGAAGCAGTGGAGATCTATTGAAGGTCAAGGACCCGGTCATGACCTCTTTCAAGCTGTGCTGCAGGAAAGCAGGCTGGCAGCACCTGGAGGATGGTGCAGAATGGAGGGCGTGGGGAGGAAGGAGAGGATTTGCTGCGGTGATTCCGGGGAGGGCAGCAGGGCCTGACCTGCCGCTGTGTCTGCTGGTCAAGCCGCCTTGGTGGGCTCCACCTGATTTGGTGAGACTTGGTGAGGCAGGTGGGCAGGGGCTGGGGAGAGGGGCTAGTTGGAGAAGGCTGGGGGTCTTGCTATTTGGATGATTTTACAGTTAACCAGCTGTATCTGGCATAATTTATATAAGCTGGTCTGGGAAGCCTTCAGAATTACTCCTGGAACAAACTGGTGGTCGCCAGAGGAGAGGGGACTGAGGGAATGTGCAAAAGGGGGGAAGGCGAATGGGGAGCCAGGCTTCTAGTGAGGGATGAATACGTCAGGAGGACGAAAGGCACAGCATAGGGAAGTATTGTCACAGTGTCGGATGGTGACAGACGGGAGCTACGCTTGTGGGGAGCACAGCATGACCTACAGAATGGTCCAATCACTATGGTGGACACCTGAAACCAATGTAACATTGTGTGTCGACTACACTTCAGTAAAGAGTTATTCATGAAATACTAACAGGTTTAGTTATCTCTCATCAAGTTAACCCTCGAAAATTCGTAGGATTAAGTAAATAAGCTTTCAGAACTGCATACATTTCTTTTGAAACACCTTCATGCTTTGTAATAGCTTCAAAATATGTGCCTCTGCTTCCTCTCAAGTGTCGGAGACCTGCTACCCTCAAATAAACTAAGCAAATGAATGTCTGGCCGTGCACACCGGAGTCCCCGGCTTCCTGTTACCCGTCAGTGTCCACACTTTCAGTCCACGGGTAGGTGTGGCTTCAGGAGAACACTGGATGTTTACTTTCCTTGGTGGGAGAGTTGGTGTGAAAATGACTCCCACAGCTGGGGAAACACACCCGGTGTTTTACAGACAGAGTCTGTGGGCCTGGGAATGGGGGGAGCAGGAGAGTGAGGACTTCTGGGCACCAGAAAAGCAAATCCAAAGCCTCGTGCCCTAAAGACAAGGCACTGCATTCACTTCAGCACCATCTCCTTAGGTGCCGTGGGGCCAAGGTGCTACGCTAGGTCTTGGGCATCCAGAGAGTCTGGCAGAGAGCTCACAGGCACTCAGAGAATAGACAGCAAAAAGTTGTCATCACAATATGCTAAGGGAGATGGCAGAAAGAAGTACAAGTTTTAAGAGGGAAAAAAAAAAATCCGAAGGTGAGAGCAACTAGCTCAGGTCAGGGGGCATGCACGAGATGACAGTGGAGCGGGGTCCTGAGGGGTGTATAGGAGTTCTCCAAGAAAGGGTACAGTAAGCAGAGATGCAGTGGAGAGTACGCAGGATGGCCCAGGGCAGAGGGTTGTCCAGGAAGGGACTGTAGGGAGCCTCCATCTATCCACCCTGTACCCATATGCAGACGACAGGCAAGAGCTGGTTCACAGGCTCCCTGCTGTCAGAGAGCTTACCCACGCACTGGGGAGTCACGCATTTACCACACTAATGGATGTGAATGTGTAAACATTCTCTGGGGGAAAGGAATTCGATTCTCGGAAAACAGGTCTGAACTCGGAGAACAGGTCTGAACCGTCAGGGAGGGCTCCCTCACCGAAGTGACCGGGACCTGAGGTCTGGAGACAGTGTAGCTGTCCATTTGGTAAAGGAGTGGGTGGGCAAACACATTCCCAGCAGAGAGAACATCCAGTGCAAAGGCCCTGGTGGAAGAAAGCCTGGCACATTCAAAGAGCTAGAAGGTTGGAGGAGCTCAGGAAGCAGCAGGAAATGGGGGGAAGACGAGGCCCAGGGGACAGCCAGGGCAGGCCCGCAGAGCCGGGGCGGTGCCGGGGGACCGTCTTCATGCCAAGAACAACAGGAAAAGCCTCCAAAGGAGAGTTTGAACAGAAGCCTGAAGCAATCAGATTTGCATTTTACGGGGTCACCGTGGCTTTAGGGTGGAGGGAACAGGAACACCAGCAGTGAGCCCAGCCAGGAAGCCATTGCAGGACCGGGACAAGTGTCCGGATAAGCAAGGCGTTTAAGAAGTAAACTCAACAGGGCGTGGGGATAGATGAGACGTGCATAGTCAGGAAGAGGGAGGTGGTGGCATGGGGGAGGGCAAAAGACAACGGGCTTACCAGGCAGAAGAGAGCAAAAGTCACAAAGACTTTGTATGTGGAGACATGTGAACCTTAGCCTCTGGGTAAGCAAGAGACATCAAGAGGAGGAGGGCATGGAATGAATGGAGAACAGTCTATAAAATGCCATGCAGGGGGGCACCTGGGTGGCTCAATTGGTTAAGCATCTGCCTTCAGCTCAGGTCATGATCCCAAGGCTCTGCACTCAGCTTCTCCCTCTGCCTGCTTCTCCCTCTCCTTCCTGCTTCTGCTCTCCCTCGCTATCTCTGTCTCTCTCTCTCTTCAATAAATAAATAAAATCTTAAAAAAAAAGTTCCAGGCAGGGCTTTGGAATCAAAGCAACTAGATCTCTGCTCTTCTCCTTACTTGCTGTGTCAGGGCAAGTGACTTCATGTCTTTGAGCCTCTGTCTGTTGCTTTGTAAAAGGAGATAATCATATTAGATTGCATCATGAAATTCTGACTTTGTGGGTCAAAAACAATCAAAAGTCAACAATTTCATATGGTTTGATGTAATACATGCGTCCTACGGGCTACTGTGACCATCTCGTAAGATGATCCTGTGAGTGCGCACATTGTCTTCATTTTCTTTATCATCACCTTCATCACGTTAACCACGGTCGCCCAGGTGCGCAGGGCTTGCTGATGGAAGCAAGCTGAGCTCCTGCTCACCTGGCCGATCGTCAAGGCAGATTTCTCTTCTGCAAGGCTGTGCGGCTCAGTGGCGCTTCTCCCCGACCCCTGGCTGGCCTCTGAAAGCATCCCAGCCCACCCAGCAGGGCATTTAGACACTCCTGGAATTGCACTGGGCCTGGAGGGTGTGGCCTGCCAGGGAGGGCCTAGGGAAGCCTGAGAAAGCTGTGGGTGTGCAGGAGAGGGAGAGGGTGAAGGTTTCTGGTTCCTGATGCTCCAGTTATGCGCATATGACACTAGGTAAGTCCTCACTCTCTCATTTGCAAAACACTAGGCCAGGGCTGGCAAACTTAATCTATAAAGGGACAGACAGTAAATAATTTCAGTTTTGCGGACCATGTGGGTTCTGTTTCAACTACTCGACTCTGGCATCATGACGTGAAAGCAGCCAGAGGTAAGTAAAGGCAGAGGGCCCAGGGCACAGGATCCTTTTAGGGGCCTGTGACAATATTTGAATTTTAATTTATTTTCAAGTCAGAAGAAAAAAATAATATAATAATGATGGAGATGTAAGAGTGAATTCAGCCCACATTATATTTGTCTTTATACCAGCACAATCATAAAATACCATTTTATTTATTTATTTATTTTAATGGAGGAAGAAGCCACAGATGCAAAAGTGTCTAGGACCCACCAAAATCATAATGTGACCATCTGTAGAAAAGTAAAATGTTACTTATGGGTATTGAAATGTGAACTTCTTATACTTTTTGTCAGGAAATCTTTTTTTTTTTTTAAGAGCTTATTTATTTATGTGACAGAGAGAGACACAGCGAGAGAGGGAACACAAGCAGGGGGAGTGGGAGAGGGAGAAGCAGGCTTCCCGCCGAACAGGGAAGCCCGACCTGGGGCTCGATCCC